GGTTTTGAAGTGAATCTATGACTGCACGACATATATTCATTTCTTCCGGGGGTCTTAAGCAAATGGAGGGTCTGGACGGTGAAGCAAAACTAACGAACAGAAACACAAGAAGCAGTGGGTAAGACCAGAGATAGTATGGCAGTTGGAACGTTTAGAAACAGCCCCTATTGATAAGCCGGGAATTGGTTGACCCAGGATCAACAATATGTGGTGGCTTCCCTTAGGTCTCCCTTTGGACATTTCTGTGCACATGAAGCAGACAAACATGGTCATGACATGGGTCAGAATGCCTAAGAGAGAGGAGCCAGGAAAAGAGAGGGGAACACAAATGAACAGGGGAGAGCCTTTCAACGAGGGTATACCTGGAGATGTTTTTCAATCTTATCATCATTCTATCGGATTACAGAACCAAAACCCCCGATATCAAAGGGAAGCCTAGGAAACCGTCCATAGGGCCATTTTTCAAGGCGGTTGAGACACAAACCCTCGACCTGGGTCCGGTAAAGCGATAGATTTTGCAGGGGAAACGCCATCCCACTTTGTCAGTGGAGGGGCAACAAAAAGTCATCAAACTGTTTGCTTTCCACTAGAATTGTCCAAACCCAAAAGTGTTCAAAGTCCAACTCAGGGAGTGAGCCCCCCACCCCACACCAAAATAGCCCTCAACACGCACCTTTCAATCTCATGGCCTCGAACCGCCGCTTTCGAGAACCCCTCCAAACGCTCCGGCGACTCCTCAGGTCCCAATGCGGAAGGCCGAGTGGCGTCGGTGGTGCCAGGCGGGATCTCCTCCACTAGCGTGAACTGGCCGTTGTCGGACCTCGGTTTTGGATTTCTCGATGCCCAGGTTGGAGCCGGCCATGGAGTCCAAAAGAGGAGGGTAGGTACAAGCGTGGGTAGGTGAGAGCCCAATGAAGGGTGATGCTTCTGGAAACCCGGTTGGAGATTGCAGGCTCTTGGTTCCTTTTCCATTATTTTCAGCCATCGTTCTTTTCTCAAAAACCGGATCCGTTTCCTCAGGGTGGTTCGTGCTTATTTGGAAAGAAAGATCCCTGAAAAGAATAGGGAAGTTACCCCTAGAACTCTACAAGGAAAGTGTGTAATAGTGTTTGTAACAGTGATCCAGTAAAATTACTGTACATACTCGTACTTGCTTCCGTACCTGTTACCATAGAAACTATGATTCAACACTTTGCAACCCAGCTTCCAGCCCTTTTTTCCGCCCTCCCCCCAAGGGCAACGGACACTTGGAATGCGTTTTGCAGCGGACCCAAACCGGGGTACCCCATGAAGGTGGTTGCAAAATAGACCTTAAGTGTTCATCGCCCCCCCCCATCTCCCAACTTGTTGAATGTGTTTCTGCCTTCCAGAGGGCCGTAAGATTTCAACTCGAAAGGGCCGGCGAAAGACGAGGTGACGAAATTGTGGAAAATATTTAGCTGCTCGGTGGTCAAAGGGGAACCAAAAAAAACAGTTGTTGTGTTGCTCTTGTGTTGTCTTGTTGTTTTGCTTCTTCGGTTTTTGCGAGGGGCCGATTCCTCATTCTCTTCGCCCGTGGTCCTCAGAAACGACCCGAGCTCCCAGTCTGGCCAACTTTATCAAAAGGATATGGCTGTGGGTCAACACCAATGGGATCCCATTTTGGGGTAGGTGAATTCACCACCCATTTTAGAACCTATTTTAGTGGGGATGGGGATGTTCACTGGGGGTACGATTTGGATTTTGACCCATGGCCATATAAACGGAATGAGCAGGGTACTATACCCTTTGTCCTTTGTACAGTGTCGATATTGTGGCCGCAAAATGTAGTAGGGAACCTCCTCAAAAGTGACCAAGTGGACATGAATCCCCAGCGAATTCTGATGTCCGCCTGGAAAAACGCCCTAGGCAGCCAGCTTGCGAGCCTTGCACCCTCCAGGTTGTGGGAAAGAACGTGGGAAATTTGGGGCCCCCAAACTTCCCGCCAAAGTACCAGTAGACTAACAGCAAGCTTGTCCTTTTGTCATCTGCTTGGTTGGCAAATGTCCCAAGTGGGGCTCTTACCTCCAAAGGAAGCAGCCAATGAGAACCCAGCATAAAAGCAGTCATAATCAGAGCGGAAGAAAGTTCAGGCTGTGCGGGAGAACCCACTTTTATTCGGGGTCACTACTTACTACACGAACTGCAAGTTCCCGCGCCAAATCTTGGCAACGACACGCGGCGCGTGGTCTCGCACATGTCCCGTGCGCCAGTACAAGTGAGGCCAAAGGGCGCATTCCACGCCGACCACTTTCATGAACTGCGGCCCTTTGTAGGCTTGGAGAACGTCCTGCTCATTCGCTCCGTTGTCGAACCGCAATACGTCCGCGTGTGGCTGCTGCACCATAGGCTGGCTCCGCTGGTTGAGACCAGGCTCAGTCTGTACCAAGGAGACCCTTTATGTGATCATTGCCAAAGTGGGATTCCCATCCCCATGACTACTTTGTCACTTTCAAGGTGGGTATCACCGAAAGTGGCAGCTTGATGCTGAACCCTCAACCTGGCCATCTCTTAGGCAGTGTAACTAAACTAAAAGTGTGCCGAGTCTCAAAGGGTGCACCTCCTATCAAATCGACAAGCAACAGCGATTCCCGAAACCTCCTTTCCCACAGCTTTGGATCAACTAACGGATCAACGAAGCCACGTTCCTCCGTCTCAACCTGTTCTTGCCCTTGACACGCGCGCAAAAACAGTGGACGGAGGCTCCGTCTCATTAGAACTCGCACCAAAACCTTTAAAAAACCAATACCCTGGAGAAGGTGGGGTTGGCCCAAACAACCTCCATTGCAAAGACATCTCCCTTCGGGTGGACCCTCACCACCGTCTCATATGAACATCACCTGCGGCTGGGCCAGGGCCGCGGGGCCCCCCGGGGCCCCCCACGCGCCGTCCATGGCATTGGCCAGCACTGAGGTGATCTCCTCCTGGTTGTTCACCTTCCCGAAGACGCCGGCCTGGCGCCATCCCTATCCCTCGCTTTTTGGGATATGGGGAGAGAAGTGGCTCAAAGACATGGAGAACACCCCCCCAACCAAAAAACAAAAAAAAGAGAGAAAACACAAAAGAAGAAGAACAAAAAAAACGTGGTAACACGGCTTCCTGTCCTGGTTGCAAGGGCAAATGAGGCGACCCAAAAGGGCCAACAGGGCAAAAAAGGTCTGGGATAAAATTGGATATGGGGCTGTCATCAGAATAGAAATGCCAACGCAAAAGAAACGGCAACGGCTTGCTTGTGGTGCCCCTTTGAGACCAACCGAAAAAGGGCTGTCCAAAAAGAAGATACACCCACAATGACCCTTTTGGGCTGCAAAAGGAGCTAGTTGAAAAACCCTGGTGTGTCCCTCCCTAGAAGGGTCTGTGTGCGCGTGTGTTTGTGTGGGAAGGGTTCATGGCTCCGAAAGTGCGCTTTGTGGGAGGGAGGGGGGGAGAGATGTCTGCCCCAACGGGTTTCGCCTATCCACCTCTTCTTCACCCTGAAGGTCAGGTGCAAATCCCGAAACCTCTTCTGCGGCTCCGTGTGTGTTGTAGGTGAATCTCTGCAATGGAAGCACGAGAAACGAAGACTCCGTGAAATCGGTCCCGAGCCAAAGGCGGTTGTGACGTTTGAGTCGCTTTCAATGGCCCGTTTCACCGGTTCTTCTCATGTGAAGGTCGAGCCAAAGAGCAACCAGGGTGGGAGGGTATCTGGGTTGCCCGAGGCTCCTGCTGAGATTCCCGCCGTTCTTTTTTTCTCAAATGGGAGTGTCTTGTTGAAAGGGGTCCCCAGTTGTTGTAGTTTTAAAAGGGGAACCGAAAGGAAACCATTTGTGGGCTTCTGAACTCCGGCTCAACGGCCAGCCAGGAACTCGGTATACTTTTGTTTCTTTCAAGAAGACATTCGCAGCCCTTCAAGGACTCCGCGACTGGGCCAGCGGTTGCCACAAACCTTCGCTGAGTCCCATGCCCTTCGCCTTCTTAAGGACCTTCTCCTCCGGGTTGGTGACGGTCGCCGTCACCTCGCTTCGGGCCGTTGGGGCGATTCAGCGCCTGGGGCGTGGAAACCCAAGCCACAAAGGTGCCCGTGCTAAGTCCCCCCAGACAACCCCACACCCACACATACACACATACACATACACATACACACACACACAAAAAAAAAAACGGTCTCTGAAGACTTGGGTGAAAGGGATATGAGCTGTTTGTTGAAACCCGAGCCGCAGCACCCCCCACACCAAAGTAGCCTGTGGCATTGGGGCCTCCGTCCTCAACTGGTTTGGGAAACAACCTCCAGAGGGCCTTCAGAGATTTGATCTATAGGGTGTGCTTTTTCTGCCAGGAGACGTCCTATCTTTTTGCGCTGTCAACTCAGGCGTGCTGCTTCATCTCAGGCAAGCAAGCAAGCAAGCAGGCAGGCAGGCAGGCAAGCAAGCACGCAAAGTAAGTCCGTTCATGTGCCCAAACCGTGCTCATTGAACTAACCCAATTGTCCACCTGCCACCTCAGGAGGGCAAGAGGAGATTCCTCTACAAATGATTCGCGCGGTTCCATATGCTGTTCAAAGTATGTGCGTCCCGTACTGGACATCAAACTTTGTGCATCCCCCCCATGTGCAGTCCCATTCAACCAACCAAAAGGAGATCCACCATTTTGAGAAACCCGCTGACCCGCGTGCGACGAAAAACGGCCACGGAACCGAGGGAACCCACGGCTCCGCCCGGCTGTGGCCCCCCGCCAGCACGCACCTTGGCTCCAAGCCGTAGGTCGCCCGTGTGCCCTTCAGCATCTCCCCTGGCACTCTCAGCTCACTCGTGCCACCGCGCATTTGGCCTTTGGGTCCATTTCAAGGGCAAAAGGAAAAGGAAACCTGCCGTGTCTGAGCGCCCGGGGAAAATCCGCTGGAATGTTACCTGGACAAGGGATGAGAAGAGGAAGGTTCGTATCACTGCAGCACCACCTGCCTTTGGGGTCCAAGCGAGACCTGCCCCGCGCACCACCGCCTTTTTGTGCTGGGCACAGGCCACACCCGCGCACGCTTCGGTCTTGAGGGGCGGGTTTTTGTGCCGGGAAATCCAGAGGCCCCATGTTGGGGCCATGTGCAGTTCGTCGTAGTGCTCCTGGCGCGCTGGCAGCCTCATTTCAAAAACACCGATGGGTGGAGACCCGCATTCGGGCCGGTTTTAGAGGGAATCCATAGGAAACACCACCCTTCGGGGGGGGGGGAGGTGTTTTTGTTCTTCGTCCACGGTCTTGATCAGTTATTCACCCCTCGTATTTGCCGTGTAGTCCACTAATTTCCCTCTAGAACTTCCCGCTGTCCCCCGGCTTCGCGTCAGCATCAACGGGCGAATTCGCTTCCTCGGCTCCTCGGCTCAGGTGTCCCCGGGCCCCGCGGGGCCGGGCAGCCACAGCGTCACGGCGAAGCGCTTCCGCGCGGTGCTCAGCACCTCGTGGGGCACGTCCTCGGCGCTTCGCTCGGCTGCGCGGCGCGAGAGAGGCGAAACCCGGCATCGCTCCGACTCGCGGGAGGTCGAGTTAGGGGGCAAAAAAAGAGAAACAGGCGTCTTTTCGCCACGTCAGGGGGCGGAAACGAGGAAGTGTACGGGATGTTCTTTTTGTTTTTTGCTCGTGTTTCACAAGCAGAATCGGATTGGTTGGGTAGGGAGGGAACTTAAGGCTCCCCAATTCGGAGTTCTGAAAAGGGTCTGAGAACCTTTCTAGGGTGCTATGACCTGATGTCTCCGGGCGGGCAGCCCCGTATTGGTTGAAGGGACAAGGAAAAGGATGAGTCGGGAAACGAACAGCTGTTCAAACGCCCACACTGCGGACGTCCACAAGGGCTTAGAAGGAGGTTAACCACGGGCATAGCTAACCACATAGCAAACTGAATGGGCCTGGTCATGGAGCGAATGAGGGTGAGGGCCAGCGGCCCTGAGCACCCTGCAACCTTCTTGTTTTGTCAGTCCCGCTTTGGTTGTTTCAAAGGAAGCGCCTTGATTAAATACTTGGGAGGGTGATTGATCAGGATTCGAACGCACAAAAAATTGGCTTCCTTTTGCTTTCCTGTTCCACAGGACGCAAAACGCACCCCCAGATTCTACGGCACACCATTTTTTGCACATTCCAGAAAGTCGGGACGCCAGTTCTTCTTCGGCAGTGGCGTCTCTTCCTCCTTTCTTCCGGAATGAAATCCCCACCCCTGCATCTCGGTGGGATTAGAGGGGGTTGTGATCCTAGAACAAAATGCGTAAGAACGAATGAATGAATGAATGAATGAATGAATGAATGAATGAATGAATGAATGAATGAATGAATGAATGAATGAATGAATGAATGAATGAATGAACGAACAATGTAAGCAAGCAAGCAAGCAAGCAACCCAACCCAACCCAACCCAACCCAACCCAACCCAACCCAACCCAACCCAACCCAACCCAACCCAACCCAACCCAACCCAACCCAACCCAACCCAACCCAACCAACCAATTGCGTGTTGTGTTTGGAGGGTTCTCTCCTCGGATTCGAACCCCTCGCCGAGCGTCCCTGCTGCGGAAGAGCACGAGGCGACCCGCCTCCGGCGCGATGTCCTCCTCTACCTGTGCAGTGAGATCATGCTTGGACTTTCGGCCAACTTAGTAGTGGTATCCCAATATTCGGGTCCACTTTGCGTTGGTCTTATTGGATCATGGATAAAAAAAGGACTGGGCACCACTCCATTTTGAACTGCCCAGCGGTTCTCTTCTCTTGGCAATTGAATGTTCGGCCCAACTTAGTAGGTGGTTTAGCCACTAAGAACAAGGTTAACTCCACTTAGGGGGGCTTGTAAGAGGGGTATAACCTAAGCTACCAACAATTTACTATCTTGGCCGAACAGCCAATTACGAAGGTCAGTCATTTGCTTCCTATTTTTAAGTAGGAAAGATGGTTTCCTTCCCGCAAACAAAGACGCACCCATTTGAGCCCTGTTCTCTAAGATGGTTTCCACTGCAGCAAACCACCCTAGGTGAAACCGGGGCATATTCCAATAAAACCCTGACATTCCCTCGCTTCCTACTTCCTTATCGTCCTTCCGTGCATTATCTTTGCAGAGCCGCTGTCAACGTTGATTAGTTGTGGCCCCTTTGCAGGAGCCACACGACACAAACATCAACTCTGGCCGGCAGCTGCCATCCAACGCATCCTACACAACTGAGCTGAGAGCAAATGATGTATCCTGAGCCTCTCATGTCTTGATTCGCCCGGGCTGGGCCCTGTCGACGCCAGCTCCGCCTAATGCCGAGCCTGGATTTAAGTAGCCCTTTGCAGACCAGGGGGTTCAGCTCCCCCCACACGATTCAGATCCCAATCCAAGGTCGCACCCGACTCAACCAGAGGCATACTAACCCCTGAGCCAACCCAGTGCTCCGAACAGCGAGCCCAAAGGGGATTGGTTCAATCCAAACCCGAAACCGAAAACCTAAGCTCAAAATGCAAGCAAGGCCCCCCGAGGAAAGACTCGGAAGGCCAATGATACACCATCCCCTGGTACTTAAAGGGGCAAGGTACCCAGTAAGTGGCTAGTAAGCCTGATTATAACCCACTTAGAAGACTCATGACTTTGACAAGTGGGTTGCTACTTACCCGATCGCCCCTTCAAGTACGCCATCTTCTGATGCGCCTCATCCTCCTTGGGCTCTTCCGCGCCCTGCTCCAGCTGGTAGGGGTTCGGGCGGCGCCGGTACACCCGAAGCTCGCCGCCGTCTTTGGCACCCCAGCCCTTGTTCGCCTATACCGCGAGCCCGGACGTGCCGAGGAACATACAGAGTGCATCGACAGGATCACCAACTCCTACACACATATACATGACTGTATATGTACATATATATATATATGTCATACAAAGGATAGATCGTATATAATAAATGTTCTGGTATGCACAACCACCCCACCCCCCACCAAACAAAGCCCAGAAGACCTCTGGTCTCACAATTCAGAAATCCCGAGCCAACTGGTCAAAAACTGGCGTGCGGCTCCGTGGCAACCCTGCCATTGGCTTAAATTGGGTGTCGCTCTTTTCGAAGGTTCCTTTTTTATGGTTTTAAGGGAAGCCAAAAGGACAAACAACTCAGGGGGTTCCCCAAAAATACTTTCTAAATTGGTGGAGTGGTAAAAGAAACTGCGCCAATGGTCATGACCTCCAAGGTTGAAATTCCTCGGCATTAATGACCCTGGCAATCCCAACTGGTGCGAAGTAGATTTCTCCATTCACGCGCGCGCGCGCGCGCGCGCACACACACACACACACACGCACACACACCACACACACCACACACCACACAAATTCCTTGATTTGCTAGTCCCCCGGGGATTTTCCAGGCCCCATAGTTGTGGAATTCACACTTTCTCTGATACCAAAGTACAGTTTTCCGCAAGCAGCAACAACCAAACTCAACACGAGGCCGCTCACAGAAAATGGCCAACCTAAAAGCCGGTGTTCCCCAAGCATGAACAACAAAGCGGATCGACAAACGCGAGGAAACCAACAAACAGCAGACCGGCAAAGAGGAAGCCTGAGTTCGGCTTCCACGCTTTTCCGCGGCGCAAAACGCTTGGTTCAAATCCCCAAAATCGCCAATCTAAGCAACCAAAAATTCGAGTTGCCTGAACTTTCCTTCAGGGGCTTTCAACCAAGGCTTCGCCTTGGGTTTTCAAGAACCCCCTACCTTCGGTGACTTGGCTGTGGGTCAAAAAAAATCGTACCCAATATGGGTTGCCCTGGTAAATCCACCTGCGGTTTTGTGGGTGGTTTGAATCCTGACCCATGCCCATGTCCGCTTCTCCACTTGTTGCCACATGTTTTTTTTTTTTGCCCGAGGCGCGTAGAAGATGGCCGTGACCTTCCGGCCGTTGTTCAGCTTGGCCTCGTAGCCCCCGTCGATGTGCTTCTTGTAGAAGGCCTCGGACCGAGGCCCACATCCAGCTCCAGGGGTGGGGGCGCGGGTGGGTGATTTGATGAATCGTTTCATGTGGTTGACAGCACCTGGTGGTTGGGTTGAGTAAAAGCCCCCCGACGGAAGATACCCAAAAGTATGTTTTAAAAGTTCAGGTAAAGGGCTTGGAACATCTCCGTTCAATCTGGAGCTAACTGACCTCAGCTGACAGTCACTGAATTTCCCCCGTTGGAATCGCTGGTGACTGAAACGGTCGCCCCTTCTGGAGTTCTTGTGTTCAAGGTTTGTTGGGCGAAACGTTGGTCGTCTGAAAACGAGCCAGGCCGAAGATGTCACCCAGCCTGCTTCGAAGGGTAGAAATTAGGGTGAAGAGAAGCTCAAGCTTGATGGTTCTCAGGGTTTCAAGAGGAATGGTCCAATTGATCCCCTAGGGAACTGTAAGGGGATGGCGCTGTTCCGAGTAATTCCCTCATTCCTTGCTGAGAACCAGCAAAAAAATAAAGCACTTACATCAGCTTCGCTCGAACTGGTGATTTGGATTGGTGGTGGTGAGGTGTGCCGGGGTGGTGTCCCATTTCCCTACAAAAGCCCCGTTCATATCCAAATCTAAACCCAAATGGTGTAATGTGCCGATACCGGAACCCAACCCGAAAAGCAGGTCGACACAAAAAAGGCAAAGGGGTCTTTGAAGCCCACCAAAACTGAACGGACAAAACAAAAAACGAAGGAATCCCCGAAAGCAGACCTCAAAAGGGTTGCCGAACCGCCAACAAAAAGCCAAACGAAAAGCAGCTGCACTTTCCCGGGCTCCTTTGGTGGAGTATGAGGCCCACCCACCCAGTTCTCTCCAACCCCCCCCCACCCCCCAAAGAAAACACAATCAGGCGCCTGCTTGGGGTAGCAGCCGATCTGAAAGGAGCCAGAGGCCTGCAGGTAGAGTTTGCACTTCTTGTTCAGCTCGAAGGGCAGTGAGATCCTTTGGACTGAGCCCACGAGGCTTGACTTGGGCGCGGCTCTTTTTTGGGGTTTGGACCACCATTTTGGGTGGGGCCCCTTTTGGGCGTCTCTTAAAACCCACACAAAAAAAGACACCGAGCCTCCAAAAAGCGACAAGAATCGCCTCGCCGCCCTGGCCACCGATCCGTCTCTCTCTCACGGCGAAAAGGCGCCTTCGAAACCGTTGGTCCGTTGCCCACGTTCGAAGCGAGGCGTGTTCGATGAGCTCAAAGAAGTTCCAGCCACGTGAGAAAAACTGCCCAAGTCTTCGAAGGCCCGCAATTTTTGGACACGCACACGCACACCTGAAAATTGATTGGGGACTGGGGGGAGCAATCATTTCGAGCTGAGGTGCCTATTTGTGAAGCTACTCAAGACTCGGCAGGTCGCCAAATTGGCGATTGTGACAACTCTGGAGACCTAAGTGGTTTCCCGCCGGGGGTTGAGAAATCAAACCAAGTTCCCAACAGAGATTCTGGAAATTCGGAGCCAAGCCAAACTACGTCTAGAGCTTCCACCCGCATTTCAGAGACTCATAGCCGAGTTTGAGGAATCCAGGAAGCCCCATTGCGGAACACGCAGAAGCTCGCCTTGCTTCGCCCCTCGCTCACCATGTCTCCTGCACTGTTGCGTTGATCCTCTCCCTTTGGAGGGCAACCCGCGCAGAACAGTTGAGAAGGGAGCCCTTTCAGTTGGCATTTGAAGGAAAACCAAAGGAAACCTATCATTTAGGGGACCCCTCACGATTGGAGAAACTCCAACTTGTTTCGGTCGATTTGATTTTGACCCCGATCCCAAAAACACGATTTCGGTGTTCCTTTTAACTTCCCTTCAAATCCACGAAAAACGGGAGGGTGCCCTAAACAATGAAGAACAAACCTCCAATCTTCTTCTCACTTGCCCAAAGGAGTTGCGACCTCAACTAAATATACACAGGAAAACCAAAAAGGTCAGATCCAGTCGATTCGCTTTGGGCTTTGCTGAGTCTTTCCAATCCCCCGCCCCCCCCCCCCGCCGCCATAAGAAAACCAAAGAGAAAACCAAAGGGAAAGCCACCATTTTGGGGCCCATTACAAGCCATATTTGATTGAAAGAGAAACCAAAAGGGGAAACCGAAAGATCCACTTTGGCGGGTGCCCTATCTTAAGCCACCCCCCCCAAACCAAGTTTTAAAAAGAAAAGAAAAAAAAAAAAAAGCCATTTTGGGGCCTATTTTGAGCCACCCCTGGATGGTTTTTTGACCACATCTTCAGCTGCGGGCGCATCTTCTTGAAGAGCTCCAGGAGCCCCGGCTGCTTCTCCCGGTCCAGGCCCTCGCGGTTACGGTTGCGCGAAAAAGTCGCCGCGGGCTCTCCGCGCGGGTTTCCACGGATTTTGAAGGCGGGCGAAACCGCCCCGCGAGAGCTTTGGCCTGCTTTGTGGTGGTTTTGCTTTGTGTTTTATTTGTTTCTCCTTGGGGGGGGAGGTACTTCCAGGACAAGCAGCCCTGCATTTTTCCCCCTAAAATCCCCTGCCTTCAAAGAAACCCTTCGCAATCGTTGTGTCTTCGTTCACCTAGACCTCTGATGTCCTTGACATACCAACAACCAAAAGGGGGTCCGCCACTTGTGGAAACTATTGCTGGTTTCATGGAACAAGGCTAAGGTCATGAATCATGCAACCGGACGTCAAGACCGTAAACCGAGCCTTTCGACCCTTGACCAACCATTTTTAGAGGAACCTCCTTTTGCGACCCCTTTTCGGGTTTCATGTTAATTTGGAAGGGAGTACCCAACAAACATGGGTTGGTGCCTAGAGGAAGAAAAACTCCGTCGGGAAAAGGGGCCCCTTGGTTCCATGCTCGATGCAAGGCATCCAATGACTCAAGGAACACCCCGCCCCCGTCCCAGCTCCACAAGAATGGCCGCAAAGTGCCACAAAAAACAAAACACCTCAGCAAGAATATCACCCAAAAGACCTCCACATATTACCCAACCAAAAACGTCACCTCAGAAACATCCGATCATCTTGCCGAATTGAATTTCTAGAATGCTAGTGAGGAGGGCTTCATTGCTCTTAATTTCGTCTTTGGCACGTTCAAAGGCGGCACTCTCTTGATAGAAGTTGAGATTCCGAAGCCGGCAATCCAAACCAAAACTCACCAATGTCGCCTCACAAAAACCAGCCGAAGTCAAAAGACCTCCTAACGTTATCCAAGAAAAACAGGCGGCCTTTTGAAAAGATAGATGGCCCTGGTAAATGGAATAAAACCAAACTCATCCATGTTTTACCGAAACTAAACGATCAAAAGGACACCTATGCCAAGAACAATCCCCTCCCCCCCCCCCACCCTCCCCAAACAAAAAAAAACTCCGCGCCCACCCAAACCCCCCCACCCTCCCCCGCCCCCCCCACTTTTCTCCGCTCACCAAACCAAAACGCCTCGAAGTTCACCCAGCAGATCTTGTCGCTGCGGAAGCCCGTCATCTTCTGCTGCGCCACCGCGCTCAGCTTCCCGTCGAAGTCCACCATCTCCAGCTCACGGAACACGTCCTCTACCAGTGCGCGCGCCACAAGCCGCGGGTCCCAAAAGAAGCATTCCTGTGGTCATTGTTCAATGTTACTTACAAGGCGGAGCATATTCAGGGAGCATTGGAAAACTGAAAACAGTCCAGCTTGGTTGCTTTGAGCTTCCTTGTAGCATTGGAGGAATTACCAGCTGGCATTCACTGTTTCACGCCAAGGAGGAACCAACTTGTTGAATCGCATTTGGAGTTTACTTTCTTCAGGTCGGGTGTCTTCTTATTCCAAATGAAATTTGTGCGCTCAGTCAGCATGCAGGCTGATTATAAGGTTTAGGCTTGACGGGCGCTTTGCACGTTCAAAATATTCAACCAGTTAGCTTACCCCGGCAAATGCCAAGAATACTGGTGGCTCCAAATGGTTGTTCCCCCGTAAAGAGTCCAGAAAAAGGAAAAGTGCTCCTGACAGGATGGAAGAGATACCCATTGAAGATGGGGGATATCAATATTCACCTTACCCCCTCGTTGGTGATTTGATATCGCTTTGAGGTGTTCCGGGGTGGCTTCTCATTTACCGGCACGAAGGGTCGAAATCCAAATCCAGACGACCAATTGGAGGTAACCTAAGATATCTGGAGTGTCTGAAAGTCAGGGATCTGGGGGGAAAATACTAATCAAGGGTCTGTTAAATGCACCAAACAAAGTGGCTGATGGAATCGACCACAATGGGCATGTGTCAAATTAAGTCGACACCAAACATCGAGATCAGCTTTTGATTAAACCAAGCGGAAAAGGGTACCGAGCCTCGAAAAACCACACCAAAAGACCCAGATTATCACTAGATCTTCCAGTAGACAGGTTAGAATAAGGGTACACCCTTTCTTCTGTAGTCTATTTTAGTAGGGATGCCGAAAGAAACGTCCTTGGCCACTCACCCGTTTCCCACCACGTCCTCCGTGAGCCCAGCAGACAGAAAGTCCTCCTGACGCACTCGACTCATCGGACGTGGGGACCACAAAAGCGGAAGAACGGGTCCACCAACCACTCTGGAGGTTATTTTTCTATTGACATTCGCTGCCAAACAGGCTTAGGCTGTTGCGGTTGGATGAGATAAACTTTCGACCCGCAGACGGCCTAAGGGGCGCGCCCCAAAAAAAGAATTCTGGTTTCCCTGCTGGTTTTCCTATACACACCACACCCTTTCAATTGCCCCCCCCCCGAGTTTGTCTTTTGCCCCTCCGTGGGCTCAAAAGGATCACCCCCGGGTCTCAGTTCGTCTGCGGGCTTTTCAAAAAACACCCTGCACCAGAGCCGTGGGAGACGGCCATCCAGTCTCATCCCTCAAGAACTGAACCAGGGGCGAAAAGATCCAAATCCATACAAACCACCGAGGCTATAGCGAGTGGGAGTGCTTTGCCGTTCAGTTCTTCTCGTCTTTGGCACTTTCAACATGGGGCACTCTCTTGATGAAAATGGGGGATTCCCCCGCCTGATTCAAACAGCTCTGGAGCCCATGAGACAAACCCTGCGCCGCCCCCCCGCCCCCTTCCCCAGTCCCTAACGGCCCAAGGGTCTCAAACACAACTGCCGATGAGGCTTCATAAGACCTGTAGAGCTTCCCTGGGTGTCTTGCTTCAAACCCCCTTTTTTGGCTATGGGCTGGAAAGGTTAAACCAAAAGAAGAAAACCTACCAACTTGGGTCTCCTATTTCAAGACACTGCCACATTGCCCCCCTTCCCTTTGTGGTTGACTTCCAAAGAAAACGGGGAACCAAGGAAACCAACGTGGTGGATTCAAACAGAAACCCTAGACCCAATCCCCACCCAGCCCAGGCGGCGCCACGCCTGAATACCGTAGCCCTTCTCCATCAAGCCCTGGATCCAGGTGGGCAGAACACCAAGTGGCTGTGGGAGTCAAAATAGGGCAACCCCAACATGGCTTGCCCTGGTAAATGGCAACATGGACTAAAATCTGCGGTTTTCTGGTGTTTTGACTTTGACCCACACCCAAGTGGCCTGGGAGTTACATATGACAGAAGGTCCCTTCAAACGGCCATTTTCGGGTATGGGCTTTGTCCAATACAAGTTGTAGGGCAACCACCTGCCCAACTTCCCAAACCCTCTTGTCAAGTTCCCAATTCCCGAAAAAGAATGGGTGGCCAGTTGGCAGCAAACCCCAGAGAACCCCAGCAAACCCCCCTTAATTCGTTGTACCCATTTCAGCACTTCGCAGGTCCGGTTACCGCCTAGCCAGCATGTCTACACCTTCGAGGTGCCATTCAATGGCATGGAAGAAACAGGCGTCCCCAAGGAGACTATGAACGATGGTCTTTATGCTTATGTGGGGTGTTGGGTCTTCTGTAAAATGTGTGAGGTGGGTGAGTATTCTGGACCAGTCGATGACATCCAAGTTGTTCATTGCCAGATTCAATAAATGAGAACCGGGATCTAAAGACTGGGAACTGGGGGCAAGAAATGGAAGACACACTCAGTTTGCAGCAGTTGCCCAGTCACGATTCTTTGAGGATTCGGATCAACCCCTGCTTGAACAGTTCCGCATGGCCCCCTACCCGCTTTGGGTTCGAAAAGCCCAGTCGGACCAGTTTTTAAGGTTCGCTAACTTTGCTAAATACTGACCAGCATCTTTCAAATATCATTTTAAGCGGCAAACAAGAGATTCCGACTCACCCACTCAAGCCCTTCCTGAACTGCAGTTCCCTTGCTTTCCAAACCTCCATTTGCTTCAGCCCTCTCGGAAGAATGGAAATATGTCCACTAGTGAAAGATTCCCTTTCTTCAAAACCAACAGGGAAACAAATAAGTATGCTGAAGCAAATAGAAGCAAAACCAAACTGGTCAACAGGCAAAACAAGCCCCCAACTGTTGGGTGTGATTCCCGGGCTCCCAAACTGCCCCCGTCCGTCAGCCTCTCATTGGTGATTTGGAGCCCGGTGGTTTGTGGTGTCCAATCTAATCCACCAACTGCATGTTTGTGTGTGTGTGGGGACCCCCAAGATGGCGGCGTTCCTTTTGGCCTCCTTCCGAAGAAAAAATGTGTCTACCCTCAAAAACAAAGGCGACACCCCCACCAAAGAAGCGGAAAAAGAAGAAAAAAAAAGGAAAGAAAAGAAAAAAGAAAAGAAACAAAAAAACGAACAGCAAACCTCCCCCGTCCGGCGCCTTGATGCAGTCCACGCCCAAGTTCTCCAAGTCTCCCGCCGTGTAGCCCTGCGGCGTCGCCAGCAGCCCCGCGTCGTGGCTCCCGGCCGCGTGGGCGCCGCTGTTGGTGGCCTTCGCCCCCCGAAGCGGATCGTCAAGCCGCCCGGCCGGGGTGGGGGGGGGGGGGGGGAAAAAGGGGCCATCGATGGGCTGCGTCAGGGGAAGTGGCGGTAATTATGGTGACCCACAACAGCCCATGAAGTGATATTGGTCGTTCTTCGGGTATTCTCGGGCTTGCGAACCACTCACCTGACGTACCCTGCCTCGATCGCCCCTTGAAGTAGCCCTTGATTCATGGACCAGGGGGCCGGACTGGGGAGGGGCTGCCCCTTATTGACCCATTCAGGCCTGAAGGGTTTCTCCTTGGCTCCTGGGCTTATCCTTCCTAGGGTTCAAGCAACTTCATAACCAAGGGGACCACATTTCGATGAGTTACTCCTCGACAACTGGGCTGCCTTCAGATCTGCTGCTAAAAGTTACGAACTTGAAGTAGGTTGAATGGAGTCCATTGGACCACCAAACCAACTAAAAGGCTCTAAAAAGCTAAGGAACCGGATGGCTGGGAGCCAGGTAAAGAATAGGTGGTTTTGAACCCAACTGGCGCCTGAATCCCAGCCTCCTGGCTTCCTGGGACGCCCGAGTTGAGCATACCCCACATGGACATACCGGTCCCCCTGTCTTGTTTGGTTGTGCGTGGGTACGGGGTGCATACCCCAACATCCGTGCCCTATACAAGGCCTGTAGGCGTCTCGATTTGGGGTGTGCGTCGGCAAATTAACGGAAGGCACCCAAAAAGGGGTCTGATTCGCAACGGGAGTTTCGACCAATTGGCTTCCTGGTACATAGGGCCCTTTTTGTGGATTGAAAGGGAAACCAAGAGGAAAACCAACATTTGGAGGGTTCCTGAAAAAAGGACACGCCCATAGGGGTATCACCCTGGTTGGGGTACGGGGTATGAACATCAGGAAGTTGTTTGGTACTGAGCACCATTTAAGGGACCCAGTTTGTGGTGTAAGCAGGGTACGGCGAATAAACTTCTCTAAGCCATAAACCGCACGTGTGTGGTCTCCCTTTGAAGGACTCAGACCGAATCGGGTCTGGCTTCATCCAAGTTTGCCGGATGTTAGGAGTCCGATTCCCATTTGAGACACAACCATTCAGTCTATCATCTAATGGTTTTGGGATCGGACTCGGAACGAGGGAATGACCCCTAATGTTGACCCCGGATGAATAAACCCCAGTCTATTCATCGGCGGGCTTCTGGGTGAATGTGGGGAATCATCACTTTTTTCGAGGGGAACACCCCCCTAAAAACCCAAAAAACAACTGGTTGATTCATGTGGGGATCCCCAGGCGCTGGGCAGACGTCGACCAAGGAGCATTGATGAGCTTCAGGACATGCCGGATCAGGCACTCCTGGCAGAGGCACCAAAAAAATACCCTGCGGTTTGTTCAACTGAAAGCGGATTTTGCGGTTTACCTGGAAAAGCACCATCCAAAAGGGCCCCACCTTCGCTTTTGAAAACACCCAACAGCTGCAACGCGGCCTTCAGAATCAAGGCGCGCACTTTGTTGAGGTCTCAAGCGCGGATCTACAGTAACTGGCAATCAAAAAAAATGTGTAGACAACTAATGTTTTGCCATCCTGCTTGAATCACACAATTGGAGGGTCCACCAAGATTGCTTCGAAGACTCTGGAACAAGAGTAACTTGGTCCCTGGCTTGTCGGAAACTACAGGACACCGGCTACCGATTTTCTACCCAAACGTGTTCTTGTCACCTCCGTTTACTTAAGTCCCCTGCAAAAAGTTATGCCTAAATACATGTGCATATATATATATATATATATGTACATATGTATGTATAAGTAGTGAAAACTAGTCCCTTTAAAACCAACATGGGAAAATTATACATATATCTATATATATATATATATTTGTATATGTGCATTGTCTGATGTCTGCACATGTAAGAAACACCCGATTTCTGCAAATGGATCACGTCACGCGCTTGGAACAAAGCTTCTCGAACCCCAACCCCTTGGCTTGGGAGGACGCCCAAGCGCCCCCCAGCCTCACAAGGAGCCCCTAGGGCTCTGAGAACCTTTTCCAGCAAGCCCCTTGCAAGCACGACGAAAAATGGCTTTAAAGTGCCCCCACAATGGGCTTGTGAAGAGTACCCCTTTTGGTTTTGAAGGCAAAAGGAAACCAACCATTGTGCAGGTCCGAGTCCCATTCTGCGACAAACTCATTTTGCCGGGCTCCCTCCTTCCTTCCTCGTTTCCCGCTGGACAAGGTCCTTCACCACGTCTCGCATGACCTGCACCTCCGTCTCAGCGTCCATGGTCTGCCCGGCGGCTGCACCCTGGCGGAGAGAAGCGAACATGGGCGGCAAGTTGGCTTTTCCGCCAATTTCTTGCACCCAACTTTGAGTCCTTGGCAGTTCCAAGCTCGAACATCGCGGCCTCATGTTGTTCAAAAAAAATGAGCCGCCCTTGTCCCGCCCGAGGGCAACGCATGGGCCAAAAGAGTGATGTTCAAAACCGCCCTTTGCATTGTAACAGGGTGTGTTTTCTGAGCCACAGTCAAAATCATCATTTTCCCTGAAGGACATGGGAAGTGAATCCCTTTTTTTTGTCGGAAATTTATTGAGTTCCCTCTGCGAGATGGACTGACCAAACTTTGCACCTCCTAGTATCCACCCGAACATTACCTCAAACTGGTGTGTCCTTTGGCGGGTGGAAAAAGTAATGTTCTGAACGGTCAAGTTGTATCTATTATCACGTCCTGCAATTTACTCTCTCTAAAGCCCGGAAGAACGAAAAAAGGCCCAGGACAAGGAAGAGCTTGGTCAACGAAGGGTGCTGACCATGGTGATGCAGAGTATGGCATCACACTGTCAGCCAGACGGTCAGCATTGCCAAATAATGCGCAGGTCTCACAATGCTTAGGGGGATTCGGACGTTGGCACAACCAGGCCAAATCAGGGAGCAAATCATGCTGGTGATGAAACAGCATCGCCAAGAAGCTGCAATCATCACACTGTGAGTTCAGCATGTCAGCCAAACCGTCTGGATTCATGCCAGAAGTACACAGCCAAATCATGCACAGGTCTAATGATGCTTGGGGGCTTTCAGACTTTGGCACAACTAGGCCAAATCAGGGTGCAAATGATGCTGGTGATGCAGAGAGAAACGGCAGCTGCCATCATCACACTGTATGTAAATCCAGCATGTCAGCCAAACTGTCTGGATTGATGCCAGAACTACCTGCCAAATCATGCACAGGTCTAATGATGCTTGGGGACATTCAGACTTTGGCACAACTAGGCCAAATCAGGGTGCAAATGATGCTGGTGATGCAGAGAGAAATGGCATCGCCAAGAAGCTGCCATACTCATCACACTGTATGTGAATTCAGCGCGTCAGCCAAAACGTCTGGATTGATGAAAGAAGTACACAGCCAAGTCATGCACAGGTCTAATGATGTTTGGGAACATTCAGACTTTGGCACAACTAGGCCAAATCAGGGTGCAAATGATGCTGGATGCAGAGTAACGGCATTCGCACTGCACGTCAGACTGGCGATGCCATTTTCTCTCTGCATCACCAGCATCATTTGCACCCTGATTTGAATTCCCTCAAGCATCATTAGACCTGTGCATGATTTGGCTGCGTACTTCTTGCATCAATCCAAACCTTTTGACTAACGTGCTGATTTCACATCAGTGTGATGAATGTTGCAGCTTCTTGGCAATGCCATTTCTCTCTGCATCACCAGCATGTGCCAAAGTCTGAAGCCCCCAAGCATCATCATCAGACCTGTACACGATTTAGCTGTCCAAATGGTTTGGCTGACGTGCTGATCTCACATTCTGTGTGATGATGGCAGCCAGCTTCTTGGCGATGCCTGCATCACCAGCATCATTTGCACCCTGATTTGGCCTAGTTGTGCCACAGTTCGAATCCACCAAGCCTTATTTGTAGATGAGTTTGTTTCTGGCATCAATCCAGACCGCCAAGCAGCTGCCATCTTCATCACACTGTATATGAGTTCAGCACGTCGGCTGGATTGATGCCAGAAGTACACAGTCAACTCATGCACAGGTCTAATGATGCTTGGGGGGATTCAAATCAGGGTGCAAATGATGCTGGTGATGCAGAGAGAAATGGATTGATGCCACAGCCAAATCATGCACAGTTCTAATGATGCTTCTGGGGATTCAGACTTTGCCACAACCAGGCCAAATCAGGGTGCAAATGATGCTGGTGATGCAGAGTGCTGGCATCACACTGCACCTCAATTCAGCGCGCCAGTGCTGCACCCAAATCATGCACAGGTCTGCAAATGGTGCTCGCCTGAAAAGCCACCTGGAATCTCCCTTTCCCATTTGCAGATTTGGGCTCCTCCCAATTTTGAGCCTCGTACATAGAGTTGCCAAGAGGATAAGCACAATGGCCATGGTGAGATTCTCAGAACTATTTGGAGGATTGTGGATAGTTTTCTTAGGGATGTTTTTTTCCTGTCAGAGACTGTTGGCTGCAAGCTTCCAGACAAAGCTGGGTCTCGTAAGTTGTGGCACAAGGGCAAGAAATCAGCCCCTGACACCGGGAAAGTAAAGCGAATCGACCAATCTTCTGCCCCAAACGCTTTGATCATCTTGTAAGAACTTGTACTCGCAAGAATATAGTGGAAGGGTTCTTTTGGATGTATATGCACTCCCTTGCAGTATTTGGGGCGTGTCCTGGAAGCAAACTTGCCCACAATTGTCAAGTGACCCTGGTACTCTATGACCCACCCCAATAACTGGTTTCATGTACCCATGTGTTTGGGGCAATCACCTCATGTTTTTACTCGCAGGATCTGGAAAGAAAAGGCTTACCTTTGGGACCTTGGCCAAATATGAGCCAAAGCAGGCCTTGGGCAACTGAGTTTAGGGTTCGTGGAGACTCCTGAGCATCTTGGGAGGACAACCACAGGAGTCCCAGCAACCTTTCGAACAACTTCTTTCAGGAACCCTTTTCGGGGTGCCCCAAAGCGGCTTCGAGGCTCAGAATTCTCCAGACCTCCGAAAAATGGCCAGCCCCGCCCCCCCGCCCCCGCCTTTTCCCCCCCCCCCCCCGCCCCGCCACGCCACGCAAGAGGCGCGTCACCGTCACCCGCGCGCCTTGCGCTTCACGTTGCCGAAGATCTCGGCGGCCCACTCCATCACCGTGCCCGCCATGTCCCGCAGCGCGCTCGGGCGCGTGAACTCCTCGATCCGTCGATCCGAGTCCCGAGCCGAGAGTCGTCCGGTCCAACGGGAGGCGGGCGGGAGAGAGAGGCGGTCGCTGCGGGCCCTTAAAGCCACCTTTCGAATGGCAGAATTGATTCCGGTTGGGGCCCTTCACAGTACCGCGTGATATCAATTGAAAACGGAGAATGAAAGGCTCAACTCCTTTGAAGGAACCCGAAAACTTAGAGCCCCAGGCGCACTCCTTCACCCTTGTCTCCAAGAGGGGTTCCACGAGGGACCCCGTAAAGCAGCCTTGCAGATTCAAAGGCGGTGGTTTTCCCTACAAAAGTGACAACACCGTATGAGCCAACCAGAGTTTACAAATCGTGGTGAACATTACCTTCAAACCACCACGACCTACAAAAATGGTGAACCCAGAACCATGTAAAGAATCAAGAAGGCGGCCGCACCATGTAAAACCACCAAACAAAAGGGTACCCGCAACGAATGACGCGATGAAGCATGTTTCGAGAAGATAAGCTCCGGCTCCTCTATGAGCCGGTACGCGGCATCCTGCTCCGCCTCTGGCGTGGGATCGTCCAAGGCCCCGCAGCACTTGCCCTTGAACTCCCGCACCTCGAGGTGCCCATGGGTCAAAAGCCAAATCGTACCCCCAATCCAACCACTAAAATCGGTTCTAACATGGGTGGTGAATTCACCTAGCCCCAAAATGGGATCCCAAAACGGTTTTGACAACCACAGCCAGGTCAACCAAACCTGGACGGTTTCGACCGAGTCGGGGCGATGGATTGCGTAAGCCCGGGAAGTGGTTTAAGGCTGCCTGGGTATGACCCACAAAAAAGCCGTGGTTACAAGTCTCCTAAGTGCCCCTGTAAGATGAGAAGAATGGTGGACTCTCTAGTTGGCTCTGTCTTTCTTTGAGGGTACCTGGTTTTAAAGGGAAGCCAAAGGGAACCATGTGGGTCCTTCAAAAAACAGACCCACCCATTGAATCATCTAGATGAGGCGGTTGTATTAACCCATTGTTAAGAAAACCAGTAAAAAGCTTCTTATTTGCAAGTGGCAAAGCCCATTGACCCTTTTGCGCGTCAAGTTGGGCCCAAGAAGGTCGGCACCCTCTCAATCGTGAGCAAATCCAGTTGGACGTTGGACTGTCCGAATCCAGCCCTGGGGCGCAGACCCCAGTGCCCCCGCGCACACGCCGCTCCAGGTCGTTCTTGGCGCGCCGGCCGTTCTCCTCATCCGGCGGATTCGATTCTTCCGAGTCGGCTGGTGCGAGTCAGTGGCACCAGAAAATGCTTGAACCTTGCGATCGGCGCGATAGGGAATGCAGTTGAATGAATTCCGGGCTTTGGTCCCCGAATACAGTAAACCACCAGTTGGATGGTTTTTCTCGGGGGCATTCCGTGTTTCATTCCCTGCCTATCGCACCAGCAAGGAACTGTTGGGGCCATGAACAAACGCGAAAGTAAGCGAGTCGCATCTTTGAGATCACGTCTTGAACTTTTGGGGCCCCTCAAAAAATGAAGAACAGTTGTCAATATTCTCCAATAACCTCACTGAGCGGACACGTCCCCATCGAGACCTCAAAAACAAGGAAAGCATATGTCCCCTGAGGCAGCCCCCCAAGAAAAGACTCACCCCCAGCTGCCGTCAGCCCTCACTTCGTGACCGCTTGCCCTTTCGGTGATACCAAATTGGGAGTCCAATCCCTATTCGGTTTCAAGGCGATTCCCTCGCTATCACACAAAGTGCTTGTGTTGCTTTGTTAGCAGACCCACTAGCATGGATTCGGTCTTCCTTTTGGTTTCCCTTTCAAACCACGAAAGAGGGGTACTCTCCCAAAAACGAATTCCCCGAGCGTGGAGAAGGACGTGTCCTTTCTTGAGGGCAAGCCGTTGGGGTCCACAAGGGGCTTCCAGCACGACAATTTGGAGGTTCAAGACACGCAATTTGTGGCCCGCAACTCGTGACCTGCAACTGGGTTTATCTTACGGGGGAACCCCCCAAAAAAAACAAGCTGTCCTTTTGGTTTCCTTTAAAAGCCAACCCCGACAAGGCCTCCAGCGTTTGTCGCCCTGTGGAAAAACAAAAAAATAGTTCCAGTCATAGGTTCCCTCAACCAACCGCGGATAATAACAAAAATACTCATTTCAGCAAGTGGAAGGGGCTCCCCCGAAAAAGAACCCACCCCACGTTGGCACCTCCAAAAAAGGCCGGGTTCCTTTTAGGCTCCCTTCAAACCCAAGCCCAAAAAGCTGCGGTCTTCGTTTTCCCCCCTTCCCCCCTTCCCCCCCTCCCAACAAATCCCACGACCAAAACAAAATCCCCACGGCTCGAGAACCCCTCATGGGAAACTTCGCAACTTCGTCGCCTGGAGGAGCTCTGCGAGCACCTGGACGCTGGTCTCCAGCAGCTCCTCCTCCCACTCCTTCTTCCCCGCCTCTCGCTCTCCGATCGGAGCGGATCGGAGCCGATCGATGGGATCGATCGATCCGATCGGCGGAAGAGCGGAGCTCCGGGGGGGGGGAGGTGGCCCGGTGGCCCGCAAGCCGCGGCGCTTTGTTCTTTTGCTTCCTTTTTTCTGAAGCGCCGAGATGGGGTCAGGGAACCCGAAAAAATGGGATGCCATAGGGGTGACGTCTGTCTGCTTGCTCTCTTGAAGTGTCTCGCAAGGCAGGGAAAGGCGCGGGAAAGAGACATGTCGATTTCATGGGCCTGACGAAAAACGGGGGGCAAAGCGCATAAAACAAGCTGCCCTCCTCATTAAAGTGATGCTCTGTTGTTTGGGGCTCATTGCATAACCAACAGGAAACAGGGGTCCCCATGTTGACTCTCTTGTGTTGCTGTGTTTGTGCCTGTTCTCCATTGTTGCCCTTTTACGGGAAGCCACAACTTTTAATGGCCTCCTATTCTGACACATACCCATGACATGTCCAACCAAGAAACCCTTTGGGCCCCAAACACTATCAATCGGCATGAGTGTCCCAACCTTGTGAGTTTCTTTTGGTTGGCATTTGAAAGGAAAAAACAAAAGGAACTCAACCCTTCTCTCGGTGACCACTTGTTCGAGAAACCCCCAAGTGGATCCGAATCACTGGGGGAGCTGCGCACACCCACTATCCACAAACACTGCCTGGGCTCCACAAAGACTTGGAACCTGTCGATTCTAACTTGGATCCCGAACAAACTCAACCACAAGGGATTTCGCTGGGTTCCCACCCAGCGAACAGAGGAAAAAACCAAAGCTGGGAACCCAAACAACAGGTGCACCGAAAAATTGAGCTCTTGGTAAATAGAATAACAAAAAATGGCCGCGAGATCCTAGGACCTATGTTGAATCCACTGAACAACTGTCTCACGAACACACGCTGGTATTAAAAGTTCTCTACCTGCCCGAAAAGAATCAAATAGCCGGGTATCCGCGCCTATCCACGCCAACCAGAACCTCATTTCTGGGTTTGTCTTAAAAATGGCGGGGAACCCCCCAAAATGGTTGGTATCCTCTTCTGGTTTCCCTTGAAAACCAACCCCCAAAAGGGGGGGGGGGTCGGGGTCCACCTAGATCCCCCACTCCGCCTCCAGCTCCTTCGACCTCTCGGAGGCCTCCTGGGGGCAGACAGAACTCGAGAACTCGATTTGTTGAAGCCCATACTGTATGGTTGCGAAATCCCTTCGCACCACTTTGAAACCATGGCTGAAACCATGGCTTGTTGGTATTTACAGGGAAATAGAATCATTGCAGGGCTTCTTGGGTGGTGCAAGATTTCGTCCATCCGTATTTCCCACATGGTTTTCAACCTCACTCTTGGGGCTGCAAAGTGAACTTTGAAGCAGTTGGGCACATTTGGGTGTGGCTCAAAATTAAAGAGCTGGGGCTCCGCAGGGTCTCGTCTTTGGTTCCCTTTGCCAAGGTACCATTTTGGTACATGAGTTTGAGCCACAGCCAGTTGTGCCAACCTTGGGAATTTTCCAGGGGTCCAGTGGTAAGCTAAAAATTGATGGATTTTACGGCTTCCCTCGGACTTGTAGGGTCATACGGAATACTCCGAAGTCAACAGTAACCTAAATCATATTGTTCAAGCTGAACAGAGAGGCTTTTTCCAGGCAAGTGCGCAAGGCATC